TTGTGTGTTGATTGTGTTAGAGGCAGGGTTGTGCTTGACTCATGAGTTGTCAGAAATTTGACTCAACTCTGACTCAAATGAGTCAGATATGAGTCGAGTCAGATAAAATGCTGAGCTGTTGAGTTGAGTCAGAGTTGAGTCGGACAAAAATATTAAGGTGTTGTGTTGAGTCAGAGTCGAGTCAGTAAAATAACTTTTGACATTGAGTTGAGTCAAAAACATTAGGAACATGAGTCAGCTGACTCAACTTTCTAGAAACAATATATAGTATAAGTTTTTCATTCTCCCCCCGCTTAACAACTTAGGCCTGGCACTGCTGCCGGATTTTTCCACCCCTCCCCCCCCCCCGCTCAACAACTTTTTTTTATCTGAGTCAATTTTGAGTCAACACACTTCACTCAACAAAAAAATTTGAGTCAAGTTTGAGTCAACTCATATTTTCATTGAGCCGCTTGAGTCATGAGTCGAGTCAAGGGAAAAAATCAGCTCCTTGTTTGAGTCAGAGTTGAGTCAGGGCATTCTGAAGTTGAATGATGAGTCGAGTCGGCAAATTTTTTTGAGTCGAGCACAACCCTGGTTAGAGGTTAGAGGTGTTGTGGGCAGCTAATGCCAGTGCCTGGAAGTGAGTACGCTCCCTTCATCGGGGCTGAAAGTGACTGTGCTCCCCTGCTCCCGGCGGAAAGTGACTGCGCTCCGGTGCGTGGGGCGGGGCCGCCAGGGACATAATGGTCCCGGTGACGGGTGTGGATCCCCCGCCGTGTGCCGGTGGCAGTTGGTAGTGGGGAGGCGCGCAGTGCGGGCTGCATCCGGATCATACGGACAGAGACGGTGTCGGTGGCGGTACCTGTGTCAGAGGAGGCGTCTATAGTGGTAGAGGCAGTGTCAGGAGGCGTCGGAGGCCGTGACAGCATCGTGAGGCATGTGTGGACATTTTGAGTGAGGGAACTAAGCCCAGAGTTTGACAGTGATAGACATGGACAGTTGCTGAAAGTGACAGAGGCAGGTGGTGACTCAGTGTTTGATATTTTAAGTCTACAGCGCTGCTGCCATAGCCAGGTACAACCGAACTCTACCCCAATTCGTGTGACGACCGTACCGATGATGCCAGTTGAAAGAACAATCAACTGGCTCCGGCGGTGGAGATCGTAATAATAGCAACAATCGGACTCCATCGACTAACTCTTCTAGGAGCCTGAAGACTCGCATTGCGGGCGAGATCTCAATACCTCTCTGAGACGCCCGCTCTCCTGATCAGAGCGAAGAAGACGGAGGCGTAGAAGCGTTGAGGTGGTGGCCTCGCAAATCATTGGCGGAATTGTTTTGTCCTCCGTCGGCCGTTTTTCGCCGCACTGACTTAGCGTGGTGCGTGCTGAGGTCGAGTTGGTTTGTGCTGTGACGTAAAAGACTTGAGATGCGGGTGTGGCGGCTAGTGGCACCAGTTACAGCGGAGTGGTGACCTGGAGTGGTGCTTCTCACATATCCTGGTGCAGACCTGGTGGTGGTGAGGTTTATAGCGGTGGAAGGCCCAGCCGCCCAAATGGTCTTGGTGAGCTGAAGATACCCCGATGTATTGTGCTGCTATTTGAAAGGGCTGAGCGGAATAAGAGGCCACGACACGAAGGATGAGTGTGAACGGCAATATTGCAAGGATTGGTCAGTGAGAACTTGCAAACGTTCAAGTGTGAGACCAGTTTTAATGATTTGTGTTATAACGTTGAACCTACACAAGGAAGCTCATAAGGAAATTTTCTGCCTCATCATCAGGAATGTTCGATATTAATTAAGTACAAATTCAGAATAATTCACTAAAAGTATAAGGCTCGAATTCGGAGCGAGTACCTGAAGCACTGTGAACAAAGAATACTGGCCAGCTATCCATCTAGTCAAACAACAGTGATTCCTGCCCGTCCCCACTCTCAGCGTGGAGTCCAGCGTTCACCAAAACGCCCAGATCATTGCTAATCAATATTTCCTGTCATCCATCCCATCCCTGTCAGCATGACTGAAGCACCGCGCCCGCTGCCTGCCTGGTCACCCAGCGGAAGCATGCTCTGTGATCCCAGCGGACGTGCTCAGCGTCAGGTTGAAGCCATGTACAGCGCACGACGTCGCAGCGCCGTAGAGGCTGCCCACCGTGTTCATATAGCTCATCTGAGTGGTCATCATGACACCCAGGACTCTCATGACGCCCAGGATGCCCATCAAGGCACACACAACACGCTTGTACATTATCAAAGTGTCGAGAAAGCGGCAGATGGAAGGAGGAACTCGCACGGAGGTCCTGGGACGGCAGAGCGCCCCAAGGATCGTCCCGCACATGGCAAAGGAATATCGGCAAGGTTCCGAGCTCTGCGCGATGGGAAGAAAGAACGCGAGAACTCCGAGAGAACGACAGGCGAGATGACTTCGGGAGACGGCGAGTTATCGCGTCAGGGACGAGTGCAAGGGCCTGGGGAAGATGCGATGGACACGAGAGGAGGACTGCGGGTGGAGGTGGAGTTTGTGAAGACTGAGGAAGAAGAGGATGAGGAGGATGAGGGACTGTGGATGGGACCCCGCTCTCCCTCCAGGCTCACCCCGGGGAGATACTGTGTCTCTGACGTACGTCGGGGCTCGTTCGCGGCGGAAAACTACACTCTTCCTGTGCCGGAGCCGACAACCAGGCGTCGAGCGTACTCTGCCCATGAGCGGCCGCTCAAGTGGCCCCCTGAGGGCGTCATGAGGCGATCCCAGGCCATAGCAGGTGGCTTGCAGGTGCCACAGGGTCCGTCTCGCAGTCGGCATCGCTCAGAGGCAGGGAGAGAAGCGTTGTCGGAGGAGACATGCCTTCAAAGCACTCAGTTGGCGCTTGATGTTAATTCCATGGCAAGGGCTCGGCAAGGACTAGTTGAAGAGCCCCGGAATCAGAAGGACTCTGACATTGGTGGTCTGGAGAAGGTGCAAGAGTCTGAAAGAGCAGGTGCCTTGGGGTCAGGTTCGGTGGGCGAGGAGTCGGTGTTGTCTTCGGCTTCCTGTTCGATAACCTTTTTGACTACCTCCTCGGCAGGCTCTTCCGCTTCTTCTTCGGCCTCCTCTTCAGCTACGTTTGTTGCGGATGAAGTTAGCTGTGATAGCTCCTCGTCAACAGTCACTGAAGGTCGAAGTAAATCGACAACCGCATGCCGGAAGGCGAAGCTCAGTGCTGAAAAGCGTCGCGGTAGTGTGGTCGAACGCCTGAGGCAGTTGTCGGGACGGAGTGGCCGCGGGGTGGATACTGACAACGCCATCTATACTCGGTCAAGGGAACCTGAGTCTGACCAGTTGTCCTCGAGAGACCGAAACTGCAGTGGCGACGGGCAGGAACGAACGAGTGAAGGTGAACGCATGAAGGGAAGGGATGGTGGACCAGAAGAGGCGGAGGAAAGTGGATGGGTATTCACGCGGCGTGGAGAGTGTGTTACTTCAGAGTTATCGGATACGAGTGCGGCAGGCGATAACTCTGAGCCTCGTCTACCGCCAGCCTGGCGACGCTGTCTACCAGCTCGACTGCGACGTAGATGGCAGCATCGCCGACGTGTTCGTCGTATTCCGACGCCAGTGCCTGCTTTCTGGCAAGGTTTTAAAGAGTACGGCGTGGGCACGTTGCCTCGCTTCGTAGCATCCTGCCGCCAGAAAAGTCCCGCCGCGCGCCGGCGCGCAGCTGCTGCTCGTCGCTGGCTTCTGCGCATGCGTCGAGTGGATCGGGAAGACAAGCAAGCTTCTGATCCCTCCGCAGAATCTGAACAAAAACCACCAACGATGAACGGCTCGGCATCGCCAGCCGTAGACGTTTCCTCGTCAGCAACAGAGGGTGATGGCAGCGCCACCTCTTGGCTGTGCACGGTACCAGGCAACTGGTGGCGCCACCTATACAGCATGTGCTGTTCCACCACTACCTCAACCTCCGAGCCAAGTCCGCATCGTGTTCACCGTCTCTCGGGTCCATGCCAGTGTGAGCACTGTGAACCTTCACCACCTGTCAACACTAGCGCCTCTAGTGGCCGCCTGACGCAACTCTCCGGCTGGTGGTCGGCGGCTGCAGCTGCGGCGGCCGAAATGGTCTCCAGGCTGGGAGATACCGAGAAGAAGGCGGTGGTGGCCGCGACGCCGCTTGAAGTACCAGTTGAGGAGGTGACATTGAGCAGGTACCTGCAATGGGAAGGAGGGATGTAGGAGCCTTAGGGGCTTACCAGTCGCTGGACCTTACTTACATTCTTTTATTCTGCCATCACTATGTTTAGCGACGAGACAGCACACCCAGACAGACTCTTATTTACCTAGGCTGTTGATTTGTTTGCCTGATAAGTGATGGTGATGAACTGTCACGATTAGTTGGATCGCTGGTAACTGTTTGATTAGCGAAATGAGGCTGAATAGTCAATGTAGGGGAATGGTTATTGTCGGATGGTTGAGAGTGAATAACAAAACGTCAATGGCGAGGAAAGTAGAAATATGCTGGAGAACTGTTCTCTGCATTACACTGCACATAATAGGGCCTATTAATTTTGTATCCAGACTAAATGCGATTGCCTCAGAAATTGCATCGGTGTTCATTGTTAACATATGGCATATGAATATTATCATCTAGCTGAAGGTTCTAGGGGCTGCGTTATCCTCTGGCGCGCGAGCGCAAACAAACATATTACACCTCTCTTCCGAGATTTTACATAAAATTATAATGAACACCTACGTGAAGCTTCTCCCGCTTCGTCCTTAGATGATTTTTTTTTTTCTGGTCAGTCGTGCGATAACCGTTTGGCCGAATATTTTATGATCACGTTTCAAGCCACACATATTTGTGATCTCTTGATTATTTTTACTACGGGATATTTAAATTTCGTGATCCAATAAATTCACTATCCTGACTCTCCTATGTATGCCCCTGCTGACTATCTCATGACCTTACCTTGTGACTCTTGCTCTCAGCCCCTTTGACTCTGACTCAGCCGTTTGACTCTAACTCCCCCGTTTGCCTCGGACAGGGCTGAGAAGTCTGAGGTGCTTACCGAGGACCTGGCTGCGTCGGAGCGTCGGGTGGAGAACCTGCGAGCCAGCTGCGGAGTCATTCGAAAACGACTCACCGAGTCACTCTCGGGACATGGCTCCGATGATGACTCCAAACGACTGGTAGGTGGACGGCGGGTCTCGACGGTGGAGTTAAAAAGTGCCGGCCGCAGGGGCTACTTCATTTTATACAATATACTTTCTCTGTAATATCTAGAGCTGTGCAGGAATAGATTATCCAAATGAATGTGAAGGATGGATTTTTTTTTTTTTTTTTGTTTTACTTGCCTTCATTATATTTTACAGCAATGCAAAATATATCTATTACACTATTCAGCTTTTTTGTCCTTATGCATTTAGCTATTTTCTTGCTCCAGATGTTTTTACGTGCAATGTTATTTTATACCTATTTTGGACATTTTCTATGTTACATTATTCAACGATTTTTTACAATATCCAATAAATATTGTAGAAAATGGCAATTTTAAGTGCCTTAAGTATTTATTATGCATTTTCTAGTTTGCTTTAACCTTTTTTTTGGAACTTCAAATAAAATTCGTATTTGCTCCGGACCGCGTATTAGGCTCAAGCGTCCCCTCCAAATCTTCGATAAGGCTTATTATCTCGTTTTATTGTGTCTGATATCAGATATGGCAAATCCTCGCCACAGATGATACACGTGTGTATGTGTGTTTGTTTCAGCGGAAGATGCAGGAGCACCAGCTCGGTGCGGCCATGAAGGAGGGAGCCGGACATGTAGGCGCCGAAACCATGCTCGGGTCAGTAAGGGTCAGCTCAGGGTCGGGGTCAGTAGACGGACTGGGAGTAAGGGAGAAACGATGGGGGACGAGTGTGAGTCTATGCCAGGGTCTGTTGTGGGTCGAACACTTGAATCCGGGTCTATAGTTTGAGGATTTGTTTTGCTATTATCTTTTTCCAAGTCGTTTATTGGGCTTCGGAGCACCTGTAATGCTAGTTCAATAACATTCCTCGTCCCTGCATTTTACTAGCAAATAAATCAATTTATACACAATTACACAATATTGTGAGCTGCGAAAGACTTTCTCACACCTACCTAACTATCCTAATATCATCTAATCGTTCTCCCACAGCGCCATAATATCGGTATAGTACAGTAGGTCTACAAAATAAGTCCCCGCCGTAAGCGGGTCATCAGTTAGCGCCTGAGCGGTACTCAGGCGCCACCTGCCCGCATACGGAGAGGACTTATTTTGTAGACCTACTGTACGTTCCAGTAATCTCTCCTCCTTCTCTACTGACCCCTCTGCTGATCGCTCCCCCGTAGCGCCATAATGTCCGAATGCGGCGAGGCTCAGCTGCGTCTGGCCGGTGAGCGTCTCGACTACGAGCGAGCCCTGGAGCAGACGGTGCTGGAGAACAGCGTGCTGCAGCAGCTGCTGGACACGGACATACCCAACGTCACCAAGCTGAGGAAGACGCTGGCCAAGCTCACCCTGGATATGGACGCCTCGAGGAGCAGGTGAGGGGATGTAGGAAGGGGGCGGGAAGAGGGAAGATTGCAGAGATAGGAAAGAATGAAGATGTTTCAGTCTGGGTAAGGGGCGTGATATGAGGAAGTGAAAAGAAGGCGGCAAAGGTGGTAATGGTAGAAAGCAGAGAGGTGACAACTCTTTCATTGTACCAAACGCAGACATGTGCATGGATCCGAGTGATGGATCTATGATCTCAGTGGATCTCGAGGCAAATTGTAGGTTCGGATCTATGATCCCACCGAATCCGGCGTGAAAAAATTATCCTGGATCTATGATCTCACAGGATTTGACGATAAACCAAAAGCATGGATCTATGATCTGAGTGGATCCCACCATGAACAACATTTGAAACCAGGTTTCCAAGTGTTTCTATGTCAATAAGTGCCATAAAACTATGGATTATGACGTGTTATCACATAAAAGCACTAAATGAGAACGTTTGTGAGTTGTAACGAGTGATCTTTTGGGATTTCTGTGTTGACCAAAAATAAATGAGGATCTATGATCCCACTGGATCTCAAGCAAAATACTAGACTCGGATCTATGATCCCTACGGATCTCTCGATAAATTAAAGAGCTGGATCTATGATCCCGACGGATCCGAGATCAGGATCCGTGGGATCAGATCCCAGATCCATTTTCTCTGATCCATGCACATGTCTGACCAAACGTATAAGTAGCTACTGTGAAGTGTTTCCTTTGTGGTTTGACTGTATCGACTGTATAAAGAAAAATCTCCGATCTCAGTCATTTATCATGATTGAGCAGGACTAACCCACACTTAATGGATATGTGTGATGTCAAGCGGACTGTTTGCTGTCATACTAACGGACCTGATCTACGCATCTCCGACAAATGTGAGCTCACACGGACTTAACCAACCCTCTTTCTCTGTCTGTCTCACAGGTACCAGAACGCCCAGCGTCACTCTGCCGGCCAGGTGGGTGCGGCCGGCTCACAGCAAAAGGTGGAGGCTACACGCGACGAACTGGAAGCCGCCCAGGTCAAGGTGGAACAGCATAGGGTGAGTGACGAGGAGGGGTCAACGGGGGTCACTGGAGGTCACTAGTGGTCTGCAGGGGCTACTGGAGGTTGTAATAGACCGTTTTAAGGGAATTTGTCCTGTAGCTCTGAGAAGATTCACCAGCTTCCTATGTAGGTTATTGAACAGTCAGCAACAGTCAATAAAATCACTACGGTGTACTGTTGGTCACTTAGGTAATGTGCGCAAATCTGGTGTCAATGCGGGACGGGATGGGCCACCGAACAGGCTAAGAGCATAAGAACTCCGCCAGTGCCACGTAGGTGGGGTGTTACACAAGGGATGGCAGAGGTCTTACAGTAGGGTCATGGCTAGTAAGCGATGTGCATATGGCGTGTGACGTTTCGTATTAATCCTTTGATAGCGCTGTGAACATGCGTTATTACCAGTCAAACGTTTGAACATTTCTACATGAGCTGATGAACGCTTCACGCAGGCTATCATCAACAAAGTTATCGCATTATCATCAAAGTGCGCTGGCTTTAGTTATGTTCGCTTGAAACTAATACGACTGCATAGCTTACGCCTGCGAGCATAGTCTTAGCTAGTCAGTGGCTATCCACACCCACAAGTATTTGAACCAACTGTCTGTAAAGTGGTAGCTGCGTGCTTACATGCCGTGGCTTTGTATCGCTTGTTCGCCCTGTCTGTCACCTCACGTGCCTTAGTGCCGTTATCCAGTCCGTTCTAAGTTACGTTTTATGTCGCATACCTTTTCACCTGATTACCACATACGCTACATTACGTTACGTTGGTTACGTGACTTATCCACATTTTCACCCACCATGACGTCTGAACGTTTCTTTTTACGTCATGCATTTATGCTTTGCGCCTACGTCACGTAATATATTGACATATTTTGGTAACACGTCTTGCGTTGCGTCTTTTTCTACTTTTCACCTATTTCACGTACCTGTCGTTACGTTCTTTGCGTTGCCTCCCCCTTGATGTATTTATGTGTGGAGTATTTACGTCACACATCTACTTCACATAACCAGTATCCACGTCGCTAAATCTACGCCACATCCCTTTACCACGTCCCTACGCCCGCTCTCTTGTCCCGTTGTGTGTTCGCTGGCTCGCTCATAACCGCTATTTGGCTGTTGATGACAGCGCTCCCGTACGCGCTCCAACGTAAGTAGTGACCTACCGTGGAGGATGGTATGACGCGGCTCTCAGACCTACTGACTAGAGCGAGTGCCTGAGAGGGCTGTATGGCGCGGGCATGGCAGGATAGGATGTCTGTTATGATTATATATGTGCTAGTGCTGGCTGGATTTCAAATGGCGCATGGCTGGCAAAGTTGGGCTTAGCGCGACTGGCAGGCTGTTGATGTAAAAGAAATTAATGATCGGATCCATTTGTTCTTTTGTTTAGGCTGGATGTTTCTTATTGGATTTTTTTTTTTTTTTTTTTTTGAAAGAGAAACGTCTTTACATGATCCTTATTAGTGAATCTTCGCTCGATTTTGAATGTTTGAAGCCAACGTCTTATTTTTGTGTAACTTACGTCTGATACGTTTTATCTATACTCAGAGCATATGTTTTTTGCTTGCTCAATGTCAATCATGCGTCACCACACGTTTGCATGGCCTTTTACACCGCTGGCAACTTTTATGTCACATATTCCACGCCCATTTTCTTTGTCCTGGCAAACATAACACAGAAACTTATTACACCTAGACAGTGCTTGTACTTGAACATTTGTCACACGTTTGCCATTGCCAATATTTTCCTTGTTGCACTTCAACTTTGTGTTTTATTGCCGATGCGTACGATGTACATTTACAAGCTGGGATCCTAACGTTTTCCAAACGCCGGCTCTCATATCCCAGCGGCGCTCAATTTTCGACACTGCTTATTGGTGTTACCTGCAGGTGTTATAATAGCTCGTCATCCGCCTTGGACTACATGGAGACGGGTGTAAATAGTGGTTCATTTGATCGTAGCTGACGTCACTGTTCACTGTAGTCTTACTTTTCTGTGTATTCTGTGCTTGGATTCTTCCATCAACTTCGTTACATTCTAGTTGCTATGTGGCTTGCTTTTTTACGCATAGGTCGCCGAGGCCCGTTTGAAGTGACAGGATTGTGACACAATTTTCAGGCTGGAGCCCAATTTGCTGTAAAGAGCAAAGGACATTGGCTAAATCGCTGACGAAGTGTCATTAGTCATAACTCACTGTCATAGTCTGACCCAGCGTTTAAGCTGGTTTGGCTTTGACTAGTGACCTGACCTGACCTCTCCTACAGTGATATGGCCTCAGTTGACCTCACAATGACCTATCCCGACTTTTTCCCCCAGGACACCCTGGCCGGTGACATGTTTCAGCTACTGAGCCGGGAGCCCGAGCTCGCCCAGCTGCTACTTCATCTGGTCAAACTACAGACGGAGTACTACCGGAGTAGTCTGCAGCTGCTGGAGGGAACCATACCGGCACTGCAGGCCAGCCTCAGTGAGATATAGCGGGGGGGGGGGGATCAATCAGATATAGAGGAGACAGAATCAGCGAGACTCCGGGGCGCGGGGGACTAGGTAGTTTGCAGTGAAACAGTGTTGGCGAGACATGAGGCGTGGGCATTATTTTATAGAGTCACGGAAACATAGTAAGGCACAATCTCGAGAGACACGGAGGCAGGCTCATTGAGACACATGCAATCTCATGAGATACGGAAACCGACCCAGACAGGGAGAGACGAGGGAAAAAGATCCAGTGAGTCACAGGACAGTCTCATCTGACAACGGTAACAGTTATCTCAGTCAGACACAAGGGACTGCTCGGTGAGCCACTTTCTCCCTTCCCTCTCCCCCTCTCTCTCTATCTCTAACCCACTCTCCAACTTACTCACTCACTCACTCACTCACTCACTCACTCACTCACCCACTCACCCACTCACCCACTCACTCACTCACTCACTCACTCACTCACTCACTCACTCACTCACTCACTCACTCACTCACTCACTCACCTCCCCCCCTCCCTCCCTCTTCCACAGACGCAGCGGCGGTGAAGCCCGTATTCGGCCTCTCGCTGGAGGAACATCTCCGAGTCTCTGGTCGCCAGGTGGCCCTACCTCTGGAGATGTGCATCTGTCGACTGCTGCAGATCGGGGCGGACGAGGAGGGACTCTTCAGGGTGGCCGGAAGTGAGTGAAAAGGGGAGAAAAATGGGTCTCTTCATGGTGGGTGGAACGTTCGTAAAGGGACGGGGAAGCGGTGGAGGGAATGGGTGGTTGGCAGTAAGTGAGACCGCGGAAGGAAGGGGGAATCTTCAGTTTGGAGAATCTTTAGCTTGGCTGCATGCACAGGGCTTTTGATTTTCCGGGGTGATTAGGGTAGTGAGTGAATAAAGCTGTATGACAGTGCAAAATGCAGATTGATGTGCACATTCACTTGTGAAATCAGCAGTTATATGTTCAAAAGGACGGCCATACTATCTATACCTAATGATTAATTGGTTGGATCTGTACAAATGTCTTAGTTTCTTTCCCCCTCACCACTCTAACCATCTTTCCCTCATCACCAGGCACCTCCAAGGCGCGGAAGCTCAAGTCGTGTTTTGATGCCGGTCTGGCCAGTCCCGAACACATGCACGAGTATTTAGACGCCCACGTTGTGGCCGACGCGCTCAAAGCGTACCTCCGAGATCTCCCGGAGCCCCTGATGACCACCGATTTCTATGATGACTGGATGGCGGCGGCTCATGTGCAGGTATGGCGATGAGGTTGGGAATGGACGACGACTAGGATTGATTATTTAGGAATGGGGTGATGGCCATGGGATACATTGTTTGGGATATGCTGCAATACAGTGTTGACGGCATAGATGAACATAAAACGGCGAGGTAATGCTTGTTACGGGTGGACACTCGGTAAACTCTGAAAAGGCCGGTCATAACGTACATACGGTTGCGGGTTTTGCCGTCCCGAGGCAAACAATATTCTATGTCGCTATGGCTGTTCAGTGTTCAGTGCTCCCTATGCTCACAGTTAATTTTTGGACCATGACCTTCCATTACTAGTATTCCTTGCATCTGATACTTTGCATTGACATAGGGTCAATGGTGGGCACACTGATACTTTTGACCTTGGGTGGGAGGTGGTGGCGGGGGCTCTACCGACGTCTTATACTGTGATGCATTTAACATTTTTGACACCGCCGTCTGTTGACTCTCTGCCTGGCACCTCACTCCTTTTACTCTCCTGACTCCTTCAGGACGAGGGCCAGCGACTGCAGGCGCTGTGGCAGGTGCTGCACCAGCTGCCCGAGACGCACTACACCAACCTGAGGTACCTCATCAAATTCCTGGCGCTGCTCTCCAAAAACAAACAGGTATGCGCGTGAGTGACGTGTGGTTTCGTACTATAAGGCTTTGATGAAAGCATACGGATCCAACTGAATAATTTGTCTAGAAGTCTAAGGCCAAGCCGATATTCGGCTCCGCAGTCCAGCTTTTTAGGAACAGCCGGCTGGTGTTGTTGCTGAGATCAATGATAAGTAGCGTGCTTGGCATTAGCCGTTAAGCTGCCTCCTATCTTGCTATCCTAGCCTCCACTCAAACCTTTATGCTATTTTCGTTACTATTTTCCTCGCGAGTGGTTGGTAAATGTCAGCTCAATGAATTACGTGCTGCCACTGTGTTTTCGATAACAACAGTATATCTACAGACCATATTTACAGTTTCATATCTGATATTTTTACCTTGTCTCACTAGCCTCACATTACCCGCTCCACAGGTGAACAAGATGACCACGCAGAACATAGCGATCGTGATGGCCCCGAACCTGCTGTGGACCCGACTGGAGGAGGGGTTCAATATGACGGCCACGGGCACTCACAGTCTGGTGGTGGATTCGCTGATACAGCACAGTGATTGGTTCTTCCCGGAGGGTGAGTAAGATGGAGAAGAGGGACTGGAAGGGTAAGAGGGTTTGAGGGAGAGAATAAAGGAGTCAGGAACGGTCCTGAGGGGGCCACATAGAATCCGGGAATTGGACAGAGGGGAAGAAAAATTGAAAGAGGGAGCAGAGGAAGCTTTAAATAAGGTATTTTTGGTGTTTTTGTGTCGGTATGAAATATGTTTTAAGGTTTGGTGGAGTCTGGAGCGCAAAAAGGGTTGAAGTGTTTTGGATATGGAAAGATTGCTTTTTTTCATCATATTATTAAATTAACACATTATTCATAGCCTCATGCTGGAAGCTCGGGCACAGTTTACTCAGGATCTTATGGCGAAGGGCGGAGAGGTTTCTTCCCTGTTAACGTTTCATTTATATTGCCTACGTACTCTTTCAGAGGTGGATTTTTTCATCACCTACCCGCGTGAGGAGCCGCCCGAGGTACCTCCACCAGCGCCGGCACCGGACTCCCCCGTGCTCAGCAATGGATCGGTCCGCTCCTCGCCCGGCCACCATAGGAGCAAGAGCAGCGACAGCGGCGTGGTGGCAGTGGACTCGTCCGGCGTGGGGGAGTCCGCATCGGGCAGCACAGCCAGCCTCACCTCGTCAGATCCCAGGTGAGCTTTATGAATAGATGTGGGTGTAATAGTAGGGGGTGAGAGGTAACACTGAGGCTGAGGCTCAACACTGAGGCTCATGTGTAACGCTGATAGTGTATATTTTGATGTTGATTCTGATTACGGTGGATAAACAAGAGTGGCGATGTGAAACACACAATGTTTCGATCATACTCCCTTTTCGCCCCTCTTCCTCCGTTGAGTATCGTCCATCCCACTTCACTCTCCCACCCTTTTCTGCCTACTTTTCTGATTTCTGTCATACCCTTATCTCTAACCCAGTCCTTCCCATTATCCCTTGTGCTACCTCTTTTTCTCACTCCCCTGTGTCCTGTTTGTATGCGTACTTCTCCCCGGCCTTCTAGCTCACTGTCCCGCTCTTTTATTTTCAGTGTACCCCACTGTGAGAGTCCCCGCCCAACCATGCGGCGCAAGAAACAGGCAGCTCCACCGCCACCTACACACCGGCAAACCATCGCCGCCCCCGCCGCCGTCCCCGCCGGCCGGGCGGACCCGCCGGCAGCGACGGAGCCAGAGGCAGACAGCAAAGCTGATCACACCGCAAAGCCAGAGCCGGCGACTTCAAAACCGGAGCCTGCTGCCAAGCCAGAGTCTGTTATCAAGCCAGAACCTGCGGCTAAGCCGGAGCCAGCAGCGAAGCCAGAGCCAACGACTAAACCAGAACCGACCGCTAGGCCAGAGAGTGTGGCGAAAAGCGAGGGTTCTGCAGCTGTGAAGGCTGACCCGGCAGTATCTGCCGCCGCCGCCGCCACCGCCGCCGCTGCCTCCCGGGCTGGTGTGGACTCCGACTCGGGTCGCTCTCTGGCCGATCTGGTCCAGAAATCGGCCGCCATTGCCGCCGGAGCAGCCAGCGCCGCGGCGGCCGTCTCAGCTGCCGCCGGCTCCGGCGCTCCGGCGCGGCCCGAGCCCGTGCGGCCGGCGCCTCCGGCGGGTCCGCCGCCGGCAGCTCCGCCTGGTGGGGGGACGCCGAACCACGCCGAGACGTCGGGCGCGGGCCATCCGGTGCCGGCACCTCGTGTGGGAGGCCAGCCGGCGGTATCCTCTGCGGGGAAGACGCCGAGACCTGATCGGCCGCCGCCACCGGCTAAGGTGAGCGAGGGACCGTCTGGGTTACGCATTTCGGAACGTTATTGGCGGATGCTCCATTGGGTGATGCTGATACCGTGATGATATTTAACTTTGGTATGTAGCCAAGGAAGTGCTTTATATGTTTGAGGGCCTTTATATTGAGACTGAGTGCTTTCAGAGGCAAGTTTTCTTAGAGTGATGTCCTTTCCATACTTGTCATAGTCATAACAATGCCTATAATCGTCCCCTGTCCCCGCTCGCCGTCTAACTAGTCTGCATTTTCATTAACAGCTGGTGGAGCGGGCGTCGAGCTTCAGTCCGAGCGACACTAGCGGCACGCAGCGGCAGAAGCCGGCACTACCGGAGCGGCCCGGCACCCTGCGAAGGACGCCGCGAAACTCGGCAGAGGTACGGTGACGTCACAAGGGGGACGAAGGGAGTCACCGAGAAAGGGTAGCTGTGAAGAGGAGTTCGGATATTCGTACAAAGTAACATTGTTTTATTTAACATCGGACGCGGTTTATCATTATAGTATTAAGTACACTTGAGTGTCGTGATGAAGTACGGATGGTGGCGAAACATTGATGTTGCGCATTTGGGCGCAGTAGCGAGGTTCTATCCAGTTATCAAACCTAAGCCTGTTTGAGTAACCAAGCAGTTTGTCGTATGTAGTGTGTATTTAGAAGGGGACTTCTCCCTTTAACACGTCTGCCTTAAGTGCTCAATGTCGTGCCTGTCCTGCCGATAGCTGTCATCCAAGGACTCGGCGTCGTCGGATGTCTCCACGCCTCCGTCAGCGGATGGACAGCCAGGTGAGGGTGGAGAGGGGAAAGGGAAAGGGAGGCCGGGAAGAAAACACATAAATACATGAACAAATAAATGCACAAAGAAATAAATGCATAATAAATGCATGAATGCATGACCCATACATAGATAAATATATAACGCATGAATACCGTAAGGTGGGGCTATTTGAGACAGTGGGGCTATTTGAGACAGTATTTAAAATTGTTATAAAATAAAAACCTTTTGAAATTTATGCTTCATTTTTGCTCAGGCGATTTACTGCTCGATTCCACACCTTCCTGAGCAAAAATATCACATAAAAATCAAACGCTCTTCATTTTATAGCGATTTTAAATGCGGTCTCAAATAGTCCCACTGTCTCCAATAGCCCGACTCTACAGTAACTAATGAAAGCAAAGGACAAATAATGGAAGGAATGAAGGATGGAAGGAAGCAGGAAGAAATGGAGAAGATATATGTGGAGAGAAACATAAAGATGAAGAGGGAGGGAGAGAGAGAGCGAAAGAGGGCCGCGCACGCGGTAAAAGCATGAGTGGAAAGACGATAGAAAAGGAGGGAAAATACAGGCGATAAAGGTAGATGCTAATTGTGAGTGTTATGGAGAGGGTTAGAGCTAGTGAGCATGCTTGGGGAATGGGACGATATCCCGACACACGGGCGTCATTTTCTGATATTTATCTGTGGGGCTCTGATAGTCAATTTTAGGATACCGAAGCCATTCTTACCATGCAATGTCACAGAACTTATGTAAAAAGCGACTCTTGACTTAAAGTGGCATTGGCGTACAACTAACTTTGGGATGAACACAATCGTAAGTCCCAACGTTTTCTTTCATTCAAGCGTTTCATATTCAAATGATCCATACCACTCAGTCTTGCGATAAAGCTATATGACTCTCATCAATCTGGTTATTACCACCGTCTAACTTTTGACTTTTGCTTCTACCTTTTCAGCAATGGAATTGGTTTTTTTATTTGTCGAATGGTTCTTTCCTTACTGCTGCCATCTACTGACAGTTTCCCGCACCTGTGTTTCAGCCGGAGCGCCGCCGCCAATCGGCTGGGCGGTACCGGCGGCGGCGGGGGCGGCGGCCGAGCCCCGCCCCCGCCCCCGGCCCACGACCCACCCACCGACGGCGCCACCCCCCGTGCCGGCCCCTCGCGCCGCCGCCGCTGCCACAGCGACAGCAGATACCACACGTCTGTGACGTCATACGACACACTGATGACGTCATGGGAGTGATGGTACGCGTCTGTGATGTGACAGAGTGACTATGACAACTGATGTGGCGATGAACAAGTCATGACGTGAACAAGACGTGATGTGGCGCCTTCATGACGTGATGATAGGTCTTGTATAACGCACTGTTATATAACTATCCAGTGACGCCTTTAGCGCTTGAAGACAGCGTCACATCACAAAATGGACCATGCGCTATGCTTTTGGGCGTGATACGTAACGTTTTGTGACCAATGTGACGGTCGCGACCGTAACGATCGTGACGGGAGGGAAGGCTAAGCTCGCATTCCTCTCTGTGATAGGCGTGACGCACGCTGTGGACCAGTCAGTACACGTGGGAACCCGTGGCGGCCCGTGGGAACCCGTGGCGTCCCGTGGTAATCCGTGGTGCTCTCTGTCGGTTATATATCCTGTCAAAAAGGTCGTCTGTCTATCGCCGGGTTGTGTCTAGAGCGATGACCCGGCGAAGTCACGTGCAGGGCCGCGTGTGTGACGAGAGCGCGTGTGTGCGTGTGGGCTTGTGATTATGAAAACCGGTTGGTCGCTGGCGCGGGTCATTGCCCCCTGATGCTGCGTTGGCGGCGGCGGCGGTGGCGGACCTGGATTTCGTTCAGGTTCTTTTCCAGGTTTGGTTCCAGACCTGGTTCCAGACCTGGTTCCGGTTCTAGTTCCGCTATAACCCCGCGGTAACTAGGCCAGTGCACGGCTTAGAGCTCCTGTCAGTGCGACGGGTTCTAAAGCCTCCGCTGCCCCGCCGCCCCCGCCGCCGCCGCTGTCTGCTCGGCTACAGCGCTGCAGAATCGCCAACCTTCAGCAGCAGACATGCGTCCTTCAGACGCGGCGCGTAGTTCCCGCAGCGACCGACAGGGCGGCGCCACTGTCGCCTCAGCCGCGCGAACCTATATTTATATGTATCCGCTCTATGTCACCGCAGCTGCAAAAGTGCGGCGTATTTAACGCACAAGCGGCGATGAGTACCATGGCGCGGGCTGTCAGTCTGCCTTTGCGATCGTTTTTGCTTTGCTTGAAATGTCTAAATGTTGTTGAATACTGATTTTATACGGATTCGTATAGCCTATCGCGTGATCTTGTCGAATCGTGATGCTATCAACACAATATACGCAAGTATTCTATATACGTGGCTTTGGTACTTTGGTCGCGCTTCGGAGTTGAGCTCACAATAACGTAGTTGGCAGTGTGCGATGGATTGATCGAGAGACAAATTTTGGGCGCATAATGACCCAACTGTTCAAGATCCCCTGATTTACCTCTTAGCCTTGTTTCTTCTCTCAGAGTCCAGTATGGGCTCTCAAAGGCCAGTATGGGATCTCAGATGCCAGTATGGGATCTCAGCTGCCAGTATAGGGCTAGTATGGGGGCTCTCACAGGCCAGTAAGTGGGCTGTTACAAGCCAGTATGGGACTCCCGGAGGCCGGAGGCCAGTATGCGACTCAGAGGCCAGTATGGGGCTCTCAGAGGAGGCCAGTATGGGCTCTCAGAGGACAGTATGGGGCCCTCAGAGGTCAGTATGGGGCTCTCAGATACCAGTATGCGACTCAGAGGCCAGTATGGGGCTCTCAGAGGAGGCCAGTATGGGGCTCTCAGAGGCCAGTATGGGGCTCTCAGAGGTCAGTATGGGGCTATCAGAGGCCAGTATGGAGCTCTCAGAGGCCAGTATGAAGCTCTCAGAGGCCAGTATGGGGCTCAGAGGCCAGTATGGAGCTCACAAAGGACATTATGGGGCTCTCAGAGGTCAGTATGGGGCGCTCAGAGGCCACCACGGGGCTCTCAGAGGTCAGTATGGGGCTCTCAGGTGTCAGTATGGGGCTCTCAGAGCAGTATGGGGCTCTCAGAGCAGTATGGGGCTCTCAGAGCAGTATGGGGCTCTCAGAGACCAGTACGAGCCATGGCCTCGCCCCTCACGTAGGGCGGTGCGAAGCCCTCAATGGACGTGACGTTATGGGGCATTGAGAGGGCAAACAGGCATGGGGGACCTGTATATGTAGTTTATAGGATCATTGTGAGGTCCTCAAAGCCGACTTAGGGCCGACAACATCAAAGACCAAAATGGGACCCTCAGGCCTCAAATCAAAAGAGGACCTTCAAGACAGTAATCGAGCGATAAAATTATGTAGAATGTTGTAGATTGTAGAACCATAAAAGGAGCCGTAATAGATGCCGATGGGGCCTCAGAGCGCTTGGAATGGTGCCCACAGAGACCAGTATGTGCCCAACGAGCCGGTGTCGGTGTCGAGACCGGTGTGAGGCATCAGAGGCTAGTTTGGGGTCATCGAAGGCAAACATTTTCCTCAAAACATGGCAAACAAGGTAAACAAGACCTGTATGGAACCCCAGACACACCTGTGCGGTCCCCAAAGGCCGATGTGGGTGCTTCAGAGACCGGTACCGGCAGGGAAAGGGGCGGTAAACCTTTGCAGCTGTGCGGAGGCCGGTATTGGCCCGTAGGTGCCTGTTTGAAGCCTTCCGAGGGTGCTGGAAGAGATGTAAAGGATTATGCAGGACACCAACCGGGGGGGGGGGGGGGGGCGGGGTGTGCCGCTCTCGTTTTAGAGCCCATGGGGTGTGGCATGAACCATCAGAGACTGGTATGTGGTCATTAGAGACCTGCAATGGGCCTTCACAGGCCTCAGAGACACATGAGGTCCTCAAATGCCGACATTTGGTCAAAAGTCAAAGGTCGACAAAGAGCCCACAGAGCCCGATAGCATGTAAGCCCCAGAGGTAAGTATGGGACCTTTTGAGGTCGTTATGGAGATACAAAAGGCCATCAATGGGTCTCCTCAGAGACAGGCGTGGGGCTTTCAGAGGTCGCCTTGGTACCCAAACAGGTCAGCCTGGGCCCTCAGAGACCTGCGTACAATCTCAAAAGAATTACCTCAAAGGGGCATACACTCCGGGTGTGGTCCTCAAAGGTCAATTTGGGCCGCTTATAGAACATAATGAGGTCATTACAGGCGTGTGTGGGTAAAAGACTGACATGCGGCACCTAGAGGCCAGTGTGGGCGATGGCACCATCAAAAGCCACCGTGAGGTCCTCAGAGGTCCTCAGGTCCTCATTATTGGAGCTTGGAGGCCAGAATTGAATTCAGGACTGGGGGGACAGTAGGTATAATATTGGGCCCTCAGAGGTCGGCAGAAGAGCCATCAAGGACGACATGGGACACTAAGGTCAAGAAGGCAGTGTGCTGCCCTCAGCCCACAGGCCGGCAGGTATTTGACTCTCTGAAGCCGGTAAGGGTCCGGGGCCCATTGAGGCACATACAGGGGCGAACAGGTTGCTATGGTGAGGTCAAAAGATGTGTTGCCCCCTCCACCCTCCCCCCACCTCAAAAGGAACGGAAAGCAAAAGGCATTCCTCCCTTAACTTCATTTGTTGCTTAGTCCTGAGACTTACAAACGCCAACGCTAAATTCGGTTTCAGGGTTACCGAAGCTCAAGACGATTGTTTCGCTAGCATCGCCTCTGCGAATGACTTTATCGAAGCTTAAGATTTGCTTGAATATCGACCTTCCAATCAATACCTGAGCGCTATAATTGGTTCAGTTCATAAGTATATTAACCCGCGCCCCATTGGCGGTCTCAGCCAACTTCGCCCTAGTGGGGGGGGGGGGGCATATGTTACCACCCACCTCTAACTCAAAAACTAAGAGGGCTAGAAAGATGCGGTAAAAAGCAGTCGATAGCTCTTAATGCGTACGTTTGAAAGTAGTTCGGTCATTTTTCATCTTAGAGCAATATTGGGGTCACCAGAGGTCATCAAAGGTCAAAATTTGCCAATGGTCATTTTATTTTTCAGAAAACATGCCTTTATCTCAGGAACTATGGTAGCTAGAAAAACGCATGGAGAAGCAATCGATAGCTTTTGAGGTCTTCTTTTGATAAGGTCATTATCAAAATTGACCTCAGGTCAACGGTTTAGCCTCCAGAGGGCAAAAACTCCAAAAATAGCTGTTTTTACGAAAAGTGTTTTTCGACCATAACTTTCGACTACAAAGAGCCACGACATTTCTATTGCCAGAATCGTGTTCCTCTCGCCGAGACGCGTCGAATGAACTATAATTTGACCTTGAAAGGTCAACTTGAAAATTTGACCTCAGGTCAAGGCCATGACCTGACCGGAAAAGGTCATGTTGCATATCAGTCGATGCGTCTCAACAAGACAAACACAGTGAGACCATCCCCAGCGTTCTATCTCTTTCCAATCGCGAGTTATTGGCAAAAATCTGTTTGTAGCCTCAAATGACCTCGGATGACCGTTCTAGAGGCTATCAGCAAAAATGACACCTTGGTCATCACGGGTGGTCCAAATCATTGTGATTCTGAAATATTTGGACTGTTCCTATGCGAACACACGGATCTAGAGGCATTTTCATTTTTCTCCATTGACTTGTAATGGAAAGGTCACGCCACTGACCTGACCTTAGGTCACGGATATAAAAAAATCCGAGATATACAAATTGTAGGCGCCTATAACATCATACAATCCACCAAGTTTAAAACCTTTCGGACAAACACTGCAGGCTGGACATGATTGCAAACATTTTTTTAGGCTTGGTCAGTTAACTTGACCTGGTGACCTGACCTGACATGACCTGGGGTCAAAAATTTCACACATTGTCCAAAATTGATGTAGCAAAAGCTACCCCAAGCGGCGCGGTGCTACGCGCCGCGGTTTTTTTATTCACACGCAAAAAACGCGACAGGGTGGTAACATATGCCCCCCACACTGGGGCGAAGGTTAAAGTCAAGCATGACGTGCCACAATACAAGATATTCAACGATGTTAAAATCATTTCTTCGTTATCAAATAGCAAATAAGTTCTTATTGGCAAAATGATTTTATACCACAAACCCAAAAATCGAAATACTTATATAGCTGATAACTTCAATTCGTGCCCTTTATGCCCTGGAATAAGTTATTGAACCATGACTGACCCCCGTAATGGATTGCGCTACTTTGGCATACCTGCTTTCCCCTTGAATATCACATATCTATCGGCTCAATTCGCCTTATGGTGTCGCTGTGTTTGCGAGCAAGGCTAAATCATATGACAACCAGGATATAAATTATAAAACTTGTCAGCTGCCTCTCCGCCGCCGTCTTGACTCCTAAGGCTGATAACGATGATCAGTTACAAACGCTAATGAACGAACCAATACTGAAGGCAGAAAGAAGCCGTCCGTATGCCCATTGTCCACACATATATGTCTAGACATACGTATTTCAATACGGTAAAAATCACTCCCGTCTATACCAGCAGTAAGTTGCGTGTGCTGATAAACTGTAGTAAAAATGCTCGATTGAGTAAGCCGATTAGACGCAGGGTTCATTGGGTCCTCAGCGGACAAGGGTCACCGTACTACACGCACCATTTGCATACGGCTATCGGCGGAAAAAAGCAGAGAACGATCAGTTGATACGGAGTCCAGCGAACACTGCAACTCTCCTCACTCCTCGTAGCACTTCTTATCGAATGTCTCGACCCGACGAATGTCTATGACCTCACCTTAATCTTACCGAGTGGGTCAAGATCTTCCGCCGGAGTCACCGCGTGATTACGAGTCTGTGACTGCGGCATCTCTCCCCAACCCAGAACCGCATGACCTTGTGTTCAATAAGCGAAACCGGCGACGGCGCGTGGACTTAGCGAGTGGCCACGTTGTCGGACATCGGCCGCGGCATGCCTCGAGAGCCAAGGCTTCAGAAGTCCCGAGTCAGACGGGTCGTATCGTGAAATGGTGATTATATTTGCGGTGTTGGCGATGAGCGATGACGTCTGTGTAGTAGTAGTGGGTTTCACTTTCGATGTGTCTGGTCAGAAACAATGTGAGCGATTTGTTAGCGATTTGGTGACGCCCTCGCCATGGCACCAAATGCACTTGGCAATACCCTAATTTTTTAAGTACCTAATTGCAAATGGAGGAAACAAATCTGCATAAAACATTGTAAAACAAATTGAACCTGTCTTGAGCTGTTGTTGGCCCGTTTCAGTGTCATTCTTCCCTTGTTGTCGGTGACCGGTCGTAGTGTTAGCCTTCCACGGTGACCGGTCGTCTGGCCGTGTCAGTGTCAATGTCAATCCCCGGGCGCTGCAGGTGCACCGGTCCGGGTCATGCCAGTCCAACCAGTCTGAGAGAGGTCACGGGGGAGATGTGAGCCGGCTCTATCTGTCTGCAGGAGGCCGATTTCAACACCGCTGCAGGATGGGCCTAAGATGCGGGTCGCATATACCGGTCTGCGCGACCTGAGGCGTGCGGACGGGGAGGGGATAACCCGTTCCAACCTCTGTGACCGACTTGTATGGAGCGCCGGACAGAAGCGTGCATGTGTCGTGGGGGCAGCGAGGGCCGGGGACGCCCGAAGGTTCAGCGAAAGTTGAGCCGAAACCAGGCTAGTTGAAGCTAATGTTATGTAAGATTGGAGTACCGAGAGAAACTCGTATTCCCGAGGACACGCGCAGCGAAAGTGTGATTCAAACGGATGGCGGGTGAAGTGTTATGAATCATTTACTTTGTTGGGCTTATCGGGGTCTGGAATATTTACTTATGTGACGTCGGCCGTAGTTCTTAGCACCGAACTTGAGTTGTGTTGTTGGTTATTAGTACCGGTCATAGTTCTAATTAGTTCGATAGTCATTACCGTAAAATCAACTTACTCTTTTATGATCCCCTTATAATTATCAATATATTTTTTATAGATCCGCTTTACTAAAATGTTTGTTATTTACGCAATAGGAAGATATTCAACCATTCATTCAATCGCATGTTCAGGGGACATAAACCGGATCTATGAATATGCCACGTAGTTTCTTCTCTCGAACTGTCTACTATATTGCATTAGAAATTGGGTGCTGTCTCATTGGTGTTGTGACGATTATAGTTCACAACAAAGCCGGCAACATTTCTAATAAATATTTTTTAATGTAAAGGGATTTTTCCGGTAACCACAAGCAATATTTATTTACAGCGAAACAATAACGCGTCTCGTTCCTAAATCCTATGTCTGCCACCTGGTTGCATTGTTTGGGGAAGCTTCTCAACCATGCTTCCGGATGTTCTTACCATAACAAGAAATATACTATAGCAAAACATTGATTACGGAAAGGGAATATTCTAACCTTCCTTGAATTGCATTGATAAAAAATGGACACTTACCTGGTTGATTGAATGGAATATCATATGATCAGTGAAAGCATGAAATAACTAAAGAAATATTAAGGTTATTATGTCTCATAGCGTCTTCCTTGTTCGATAAAATTTGATTGTTAAAATAATCATAATATTAATGATAGAAATATGTCTGAGAATATTTTCTTATCGGGAACGTCCAACTTCATAAGACCGGTGAATCCTGGCCCAGTGACCACTAAAATGTATATAAAAGGCGGCGAAAGTGACACCCAAATGGCACAGCATATTCACAAATGTCAAACGAAATCATCCATCGAGATCCGCCTCAAAATGATCTGTCCCGGTTGACGAAAACGTCACAGCACACTCAACTGGGCACAACAAAATGCCGCCGCTAAAAAGGCCTATCCGCAAGATGTGGAGCCTTTCCAATTCAACATGGCGCCATGCCCACATATCAATAAACATGCAAAACATTTCATAAAAACACTTCCTTTTGCTAAAGTCTTTGGGAAACCTCCCCAGCAGTCCAGCTGCTTGCTCTCTTTCGCTCAAAGCGATAACCCGTGAGCCCTGCAATCACCTTCATGCACTCCGCACAAACAATATAACATCCGGTTCCCGGTACCAAGTCCAAACACGTATAGATGGCAGCACTATGCTCTGCTACATGTTACCGGAATCCTTCAGCTCTGGATGCGGCTCCCAACTGCCATCTCCCGTGCGTTTGGCGCGCCTTTTGATGATGTCACGTGGCACCGTTTTACGGCCCCACACCCATCCAAAATGCGCGCACAGGTCAATGAACCCAGTGGTGAGATTGGCGCCGTAGCCAGGCAGTTCAGCCGCCCTGTAGTCCCAGGGGAAGACGTGATGGTAGTTGTGCCATCCCTCTCCGAGCGCCGCGATGGCCACGCCCAGGTTCTCCGCCGGGTGGATGTGGTCGTCGTACGGGTGCATCCCCCAGATGTGCGCAGCGCTGTTCACCAGCCACGTACAGTGTAGTGACGTCACCAGGCGGGCAGTGGAGATGAGCAGCGCGATACTGAGACTCTCCCCCCAGGCCAGGTGCGGGATCAGCGACGGAATGATGAAGCTCCAGCTGAGTACCATGGGCACGAACCAGCGGCGCTGGAACGCCACCACCGGATCGGCCAGCAGGTCGGACAGGTCCACTTTGGCTCCCTGCCTACGAACCTCCGGGTGTTTGCGCACCATCAGCCAGCCGCAGTGCGCGAAGAAGAACCCTCGGGTGGCGTTATGCGGGTCAGCGTCGGTCTCCGAGTGGCGATGATGCAGCCGATGATCGCGCACCCACTCGTAGATATCGTTTTGTCCGCTGATGGTGAACATGATCATGAGCACGACGCGCAGGGGAAGGCTGGCGCTGTAGGCGCGGTGAGCCCAGAGACGGTGAGCGCCGGCGGTTACTCCCAGACCGCTGGCGATCCCCCAGAGCCAGGCGTGGTAGAAGGTGCGCCGGTCGCAGTCGGTGAACACGTGCCACCAGCCGAGCGCAGCCATCACGTGAAGAACGGTGAGAAGCAGCATGCTGCGCGGAACCAGGATCCTCGGCACTGGAGTTGATGTTGCTGCAGGTTTTTCAGCTTCGGCGACCGGAGACACAGGCGTGGCCAGCACCTTGTTGGCGTTGATGTCCGAGATGACGACCGGCTCGTGCACCGGCTCCGGCACGTGAGTATGCTCATCGACCACCTCCGCGGCGGCGTGGATGTTGGGCGGCATCTTGGTCAGCTGGTGAGGCGCGAAGCTGACTTTCACTCCACTCGACTCCAGCTCGAACAGCTACTTCTTGGTTCCTCTTCTGAGATGTCCTCAGAAGGTGCTCCCTCCGACGCTCCTCAGATGTTTCTCTTCTGAAGTTTATCAGCTGTCTGCATCCTCTAAGAGTCGCTCTCAGAGTTCAGACGTAGAGCTAAGAGCGCTCATCGGGCCCGTGAACTCTCTTAGGAGAGTCCTTCCAACCCGTTCCCTCCTCTGGATCGGACACCTAACAGTTTGCGCTGTGCCGCCTCGCACGCTTAAGTACACTCTCTCCCGTGACGTCACGCGGCCCGGCTGTGACGTCCCATACCAGAGTGATTCGGCTGCGGGCTGAGCGGCGGCCGGTCACGTGACATATACCGGTACTGACCAGTAGTGGTCACGTGTGCCAGAATATTCCTGTTGGCATGAAGTCACGTGGATTTTGAGATTCCATCCTGTCTGCCAGGTGACTTGCGTGCATGGCCGATATGGTCGTTATGGCTATAAAAATTATAAGATGAAACGTACATCTGTTATAAGCATAGACGATACATTATTGAGTGGTCTCAATAAAGGGAACGTAGGCAGTAGGCACTCAATATTTGAACTAATGACTAATATTTTGAGCTTGAAGCGCATTGATTGAACATATCCACTCCCTTAAAAATATGACCATTGGAATCATGAGAATCATTTTCATCATACAAGCTAGGTCGCAAAGCTTTCATTACAGAACACCATTCATTGGCATATTTCTACCTTTTCTAAGCATTGTCTTTCACTGAAGAAGGTGACGTTCGCGGTTTGTAGGACGGATCTGATAAGTGTTGAATTAAACTGGGAAAAACCAACAGAGTTTTATGTTGTGAGTGTGGGTAATGATGGGGATATGACAAATCAGCATTTTGTGACGACATGCTTGATTAGATGGTCCCGGTTCCAGTGATTCAGATGCTCATACCCTCTCGACTTAATGGGCTTTAACTACATAGGCAAATATGATACCTACCAGCAAATATGATAAATTAGAAAGAAATCAGCAATAAAAATCGAGAATCCATTTTGAAACGATTCTCCAGATGCAGAGCATAGTTTGCTAGCAATAGCCAATAACCATCGAGCAAAAAGTGCACTTTAGGAAGTAGACGAATGAAGCGTAGCGATGGCAAATTTTTTCCATACAAAGGATAATTGGTGCCAGAGGCTCATTGCGTGTTCAGACGTAATTTCATTATTGCAGTGTTTAACGTCAGATGTTTGTCAAATCGCTAAGGCACATATGCACCAACTTCGTACACTTATCGCAAGATTTTGTGTGCTGGGAGTTCCCTCTCTGTTTATGATCCCATGATGGGAAAGTATATATGTGTTGCACATTGGCTCACATGTTAACTTGAAAATTTGTTCACCTACCTAAGTGTATAAGCTATTAGTGGGATTTAGGAAATCCTTAAATACATAGTTCTTGGAGACGTTATTTCGGCCGCACTGCTCTATTGTTTTTGTTTCACGTTTTCTTTTGTACTTTTCTTTTGTACGTACGCTAGTACATGAAAAAAAAACATGACAAAAAAAACACTTGCAGACCTAGGCTCTGTTTCAGTGCATGACATTTTTTGATGCTTCCGGTATAGGTGCTCGGTTTCTGTGGAAACGTAAGCAAAAATTGGCAAGTCTGCTTACGTTTCCGTAGAAACCGAGCGCAAAACAGGCAGCGTCAGGCAGCGTCAATGCGATGAAACAGGACTTCATGACTAATGATAATCTGTTAAACGTCTCACCAAGCAAGAGGCGTTTACAATTCGCCTTCTTAACGATTGCCGCTCCCTCAGATTCATGTGTAAATACGGCACGGGACAAACAATACGAACGAATCGACAGCTCAGTCTGTACAAAAAAAAAAAAAAAATGGAACGGACAGGGGCTTAGCTTATAGATAATCGCGTGCGCTTTTCATTAGAACACTTAGTGTTTTGCCGTCGTTTCGAAAACGAACTTTAAAGGGAGATAATGACCTTTTTCCACAAAATCTGAGGTAGGACCATTTTCTGACAAAACACAACAAGTTATAATGTAAATTAAAACCATTTTGCTCAATTCGGTACCTTGCCGCAAATATCTCAACTTGAAGTCACGTTAGCGGGGAGCGCTGAAAATGACCGTTGAATAAGTACTTACATCACTTTTTGGTACTTGCATGTAATTTTGTAAAATGAGCGTATTCCTTACATTTGATCTTCATCACATCTAGTTAGTTAATGGTCGTCTATAGTGCCTTCAAAAGATATTCATGGTTTGGGGGTGATTTATGTATAAATTTACGTAACTATTTTTCCTGTTCATCATCTGACGCCATATGCTGCTATTTTAGTAGCAACGACTCAATTTTGAATCGGTCCCGCCGACTGCACAATAAAAGAAGATAGATACAACACTTTTGCGGCATCACTGAAAAACTTATGCAGTACTGTTATCAAAATTCTCATAACACCGTTCGACAAACCTGAAGTCTTTTTGAAATAAATATGCTTGTATTTTTCGCTTCAGGCTCTGACGCCAAAATAATGAATTTCGTAGTCGCAATCGCAAGATTTGGCTGCGTTTCTGGCGCATGCCGTTCATTTGTGGCGCAAAATAATACTTGGAAACAAAGAAGAGTAGGCACTATGTATCCCCGAATTAGAATCTAATTAATTCTAAACCGAATTAACTCTAATTCAAATTAGAATCCTTACAACCAAGCAACGACAAGGCGATAACATAAACAAAAACCCAAGCGTCGCTGTTTGAAACAAAAGCGCCATATACTGCGACTTTTTTATAGAGAAGGACAACGCATTTCGGTGGGTGTTACAAGTACTGCAAGTACTGCTTCTTTTTTTGCAAAAAATAAAAACCTTTTTCACATACGAAAATGTGCTAGGAAATTTTCATATTTTATAGAAACTACAGTAGAAATAGTATAGATGTCGAGTAATTTTTATGTAAGAAAAAAGAAAGCTCATTATCTCCCTTTAACATATTTTAGCAGTGTTGAAAACAGGAGGGCTAGCTAACATGCCTATGCTGAAAGCACATGCATCACATGTGCTTACCATCAGGGGTGTCGTTTTGTATAGGCTTTTTTAGGGTACCCCCCCCCCCAGCTCTACCGATAATTTCGGGATTTTAACATTAGCCATAAGACGGCTACATCATGTAAAGAATGGCTTTGGTATCCTAAAATCTACTATAAGGGCCCTACCAATTAATTTCGGAAAGTGACGCCCGTGCATATTAGTACGCACTAGTCTACACTCTACATATTTTAATCCCGTAACCTCCTTGTTGAGCTAAGTACGATAAGAACTCCTTGTCCCGTATCTCGTACCTATCCTCCTTGGAAATGTAAGCATAGTAAACGTTTTAGTACTGTATTATTTCCATTTGTACTTCTTTGAGCTTGCGCAAGAAATATGGAAGGAGGCCATTTGCCCCCCCCCCCCCACTTTAGCGGGTCACCGACTCACAGTGGCGTTGTCCCAAATTCATTTAAGCATGTCACCACAAGCTTTGAGCTTATGTATGGTGAAACATTAAAACGTGATCGCGTGATTGATAAGCTTCATTGAGTCATTTTGAGCGTTGTATTATATAAGCAGTCACTTATTATCTCGCTTACTACGAGTGGAATTGTGATTCTGAATGGTTTTCGGATTACATGCCGATTGGTTGTTGCTAAGACGCTTTTCTATCCTTAGTAGCATTTGTGGTATTTCCCGCTGTGCATATTGAATTACTACCACCTTATCTCAACCACATACATTGCTAGGCGTGAGAAATCGTTCGCTACTGCTCTCCCTTTGAGCTCTTCCGGCATGGAGCTCTACATGGATCAGTGCACACGTCAGTTGCACCAGAAAGCTTCAAGTCTGACGGATCAGCAGCATCCTATAGGGACAAGACAATACAGAATAAACTACTAACTTACCCAGTGTAGAGTGCGTACTCATCACTTTGTGTGGATGTATGTAGATGTTTGCCTTCAAAGGATGAATGCTACAGGTTGCAAGAACACTGCTGACTGCACAGTGTACATTATTATAAAATGTACATTATTGTAATGTACAATGTACATTATTGTACAAATGTACATTATTGTAAAATGTAGTACGGCGTGTTTTGACCATTCTGAGTGCATCTCCCAGATCGTTCGTTTCTAATGCTTTTGGTCTGACTAGTGATGTCAGCTACAGAAAATCCAGGATACCGATACGTAACCAACCAACCAAAACCGTTGGAAAATATATATATAAAAAAACGAACCATCTTGGGAAATTGATAGAAATGCCGACTTCTTACTAAATCTACAGTCTCCAATTAATGAGGATTCATAATATTGAAAAAGACCAAAAACATTTGAAATTAAGTACCAAATTGGTATCGGTTTGACAGCAAAAGAGTTCGTATTCACATACTAGCGCCGCTTCCCGCTTCAATTGGATGACAATGAAAATAAAGTACCTACCTACCAGATGCCCATGCTAGCCGCCAAGCCACTATTCTAGACTTACTTTTCCTCATCGTGTTATCTGCGCAAACATTTGGACATCTGAAGAAACTGCGACCCGACATCTTTATCTTACCCACCATCGCTTCACCCTAATCGCGCTTCGCAGGTCTATATTTAATGTGCGCTCTTTCCGTCAAATATAATCTCTTTGAGCCTCTCGGTTGGCTGTTATCCTGTTTCAACATTGTAGAACCAAGTTTCATTCCACTCTACAATTATGCAGAGCGGTTTGCACCCCCTTATCAAGGTTCAAACGTCCTTTCTCAGCTTCCAAACGTGTCATTGGTAGTGACGTTGGCTGGCGAAAGCAGCGGTATCGTGCGTTCGCTGAATATCTGAATCGGCAGCACGGGCCGGACCAGTTAGAGGTCACGCACATTCGTCCGCCTGGCTGACCCACGCGCCACACTAACTCGTCTTTCGATCCAGATATTCAGCAAAAAACCGGAGCGGCAGCTATTCTGTTCTCTTTTGGTGATTCATTCTTAGTCGCACGACACAACAGCACGTGTTTTAAAACTAAGTTTCAAGGCTGAATCATTTTTATGACGGAACATAACGCAATTTGTCATTGATGTGGTCGTTTTTGCTGTAAGAATTCTTTTTGGATGTCAGCTTTATGGACTACTGACAGCAGCGAGCAAATGAAAGCGAGAAAGACAGATAGAGAGATAGGGGGAGAGGGGGAGAGAGAGAGACAGCGTCACATCTAAAACGGAAACGATTTTTTTTCTCGTCATCAGGCTTCAGCTGATGAAGCGACGGCGAAACGTGGAACGACTTCGAAAGATGCACCTGCCGACAATAGACAAATGACGGACGACAATGAATGACGAAAAACGACGAACAACAACGGGCGACTT